AGCAATTTGGGGTTTAGTGTCACTTCGACATGAGAGGAGCCAGGGATTGAACCACCAACCTTCCGGTTAGTGGATGACCCGCTCTACCTCTGAGACACAGCCACCAAAACTAGAAAGTGATCTTTCCAGTCTCACTTGGTTCTTTTCTCTTGAAAATTAAGATGAAAATCAAAGTTGAGAGGTCAGATTGCATGGTGGGGGGACGCACTATGCATTGCATTGCACCTCAATGCCCTTCAATGGCGGTGGCCAGGGTCCAAGAGTAACAAAATCCACTTACAGCGACTGTAAATTTGATTAATTGACACATTATTTCTCATTTGAAGTGTATAAAAGATAATAGAGATAAAACAGATTTTTTTTATGTGCTGGACAACCAGCAAAGACTCAAAAAAACAAAACTGAACCCTAGTGAGCTTCACATGTGCAGGCAGACTTTGTTACCTTTGAACAGAGTTTCTCTTTACTTCTAGTCTTCATGCTAAGCTAAGCTAATCGTCTCCTGGCTTCATATTGTCTTTTAACTCTCAGCAAGAATGCTAAATCTTCCCAAAATATTCAACCAACTATTCCAACTATTCCTTTGGTGCCTTTTTTATCATATGTAAACCATTTTTAACTACCTCAGGAAAGGTTCTGTAGAAATATATTTGCATACCTCTGCAGGCTTAACAATGTAATAGAACCCACTGTTGAACAATCCAGTAGTCTGACCATGTCCAAACTGCACAATGTGCCTGCAGAGGAACTGTTTACAGGTAAAAGACAGCAGGCAAGGAAAAAACTAAAGCAACATCTTATAATCAATCTAAATTATATTGCTTGACTTCCCATGATATCAATAAATTTTAAACTTGAGGTGATAATAACTGAGCTTAGTGGCATTGCTGCACTTTAATCAGTTAAATATACTTTATCTGGAGATGATATCCAAACCTGTTTTTGTGTCAGAGGTTACAAATGTGATGGTGATGAAGTTCCAATTACTATTAGAATGGAGGCCTCGAGATAAGGAACTAATTTTATCTCAGCAACGCAGCAGTTACCTGTGCAGTGATAAATATTCATTCAGTCATTTGAGAAGTCTGTGAGACTCTGCAGGCCCATAGATATTTCAACAAACCTACATTTTTCTTTTATCAGATATTTAAAGGAAAAGAGCTACGTGCTTACTGTTGAAATTAGATTATCCATTTAAAGCCCAGAGGAGAATCTAGTGGGCCACCCTAGTTTGGTGTCAAATTGAACACATAAATTTAGCTTAATTTGTTAAAAAATGGAAATTCATTGAATGATCTCAGTGATAGGCTTAAAGCTGCAGTGGAAAACCTAACTATCTTCAAGTCTCCAACCCAAAGTGTCTTTTAATCTTTCTCAGCTCTGATTGGTTGTTTTCATTCAGGCCCGGTGGATTCTCGTAAATCCCATTAGGAACACTAGGAGGAGCCAGAGGAACCTGATTGTTTCACAGATTATCTGTCTCATGTTCTACTGTCACTATATAGTGAAAGTTTCAGTGAATATGACAAAAAGTTATTTTTATAGAAGTTACCTGTATTTGGGGAAAAAAATTCTTCCAATTTGGAAATAAAACAATTTATTGATTTCTAATTCCAAGTTTTTCAGTTCAAATATTCATAAATGTTCATAATATATATCATTTGGGCGCTTTTTCAAGCAGATATTGATTTATGTGATTGTTTTTGATTAAATTAGTTTATATAGTATATACCTCCCTAGATCCATCCCTGTTAGAGCCACGTTGAAAAATGTTTCCTTTTACATCCACTTGCCCTACGTATTCAAAAAGTAAAATCCAGCGGTGGAAAAATAAAACGGAAATAGATCTAAATAAATAAAGGTTTAAAAAACGATTCTACTTATTTTAATTTCGGCATAAATGTTTAACTACCATATTCTGATTAAAGGACACAAAACATTTTAGCAGTGAAATGACTGTATAATATAATATTTCAAATTCTATAAATAATAAGTATATCTGCATGCGGCACTGGCTGTGGTGTGAAGCCGTTTCACCAATCGGCCTCAAGTGTTCGGCATTAGAAGAAGAAGGCGAGCAGAAAGACAGACTCCATTCATCCATGATGGAGATGGACGGATGTGAAGGATGAATTAGGAGACATTTACAGTGTCAGACCTTAATGTTTAAATCGGAAACACAACACAGCCCTAAACAAAGAATAACCCTATTAAGATAATAAGCTCTGTTGGGCCCCGGAAGAGATATAAATGTATATATTCACTATAAACGAATTAAACACATTTAAAATAATTTTCTTTATTTCTTAACGGATCGCAGTGCGTCTTTACATTTCATGACACTTAAAAATAAAACTATTGATTTTCACATTTCAAATAAAAAATCTGATTGATTATGTTATTCAGTTAATATATTTTCCGTATATTTTATTTCCCCACATGAAGGTCTAGATTCAGTCTTTGAGCGTTTGCTTGGGGAAGGAATAACATATATTTTATTTGTGTCATTTTCACATTTTAAAATAGAAAATACTGTAATCTGTGAAAACTATTCCCACCACAATATGTTTTTAATGTTATACGGCAACGATTATCAGACCGGCATTCTTGTTTTTATTTTATATATCTCTGTGGTGCTAAATTATTCCCACTTTGAGCGGCCTCTGACAACCTGCAGTTATTGGTTGTTATTCGTCCTGTTTGTTATCGCGCTGCAGCTTTTACGCAGAACTCAGCCGCAGTTATCTCCCCATAAAAACTCTCTCTTTCCAGTTCATTTTAGAGCATTGTTATATTCCGATTGAATCAGCGTTAGGTGTCAGTGGCGCATAAAACTGCTTAGGCCCAGTTGGACTTTCATATTTGAGTAACGTGTGGCCATTCAAACGTGTGAATTTAAAGGCGGATCATCATCATTATCATTAAGACGAAATACTAAGTGTGGATTCGTGCACCATTAAAATCCCCCTAATTTAATATGGCGCACATTGATTACTGTCGCCTAAAGGCAATCCACTATGTGAGTTATTTTAAGCATAACACTTTGAAAATCTCAAAATATTAAATCCTTTATCCTTCACATCGAGCCTGCCAGCGTTGAAATTCTTCCTGATGAATAAACCCAGATAAAGGTGAGTACAGGTATAGCTGCTGCTTTTGCGCCCCTCAGGCCTCATCTTTGGGCCCTATCCTCCTCTCCAAGACACAGGGGTCCTCCTTTCCTCCCTCCCCTTTCCTCCTCCCCTCTCTCCCCACCTAGGGCCTACCTCGTAGCAGCTGGGCTGCGTCACGTGTTTCTCTCCAGTACAAATTTTCCAGTAGGGGAGCGAATAGGAGCACACCCATATCAGCAATTATCAGCGACAGTAACTATCTCCAAATACAGCGGGCAGGAAGAGGAACGCCGCGGTCGTCCTGGAACAAAAAAAACCCCAAACTTTTATTTATCTCCCGCAACTTTTGCGCGTTAAAACCATTTGGAGACGCTCCGCCGTGCGCCCTCGTCCCCCTCCATCTGCAAGTGACAAGAGTTTGCCTGCTGCGCGCCTCTACTGAGGTCTGACGGCTGAAGGACCGGACTGCCTTATCACCCGAGCGTCCTTATCTGGTGAGATAATACACTGAGAGTCCTTGGAAAGGAACGGCGCTGCTCCTATGCGCAGCGAGAGAGCCACTATCAAGGTTTTATGTGATTTGAGTTACTATTGATAGAAAATATATGCATTGTAGATACGGGTCGTAGCGCTATCTGTGTTGTTTGATTTGGTTTCCGTTATGGTTATGAATTAATGAGGCGTTGCGGAGCTGCAGGATGTGTGGGGTCGCTGATAGCCGCCTCTATCTGCGCGCACAGACACTTAATGTCATTTTAATCCGTTTCGTGTCAGTCAGAGTGATACAGGTGGAATCTGACTGATGGTACTGACTGATTATAAACTATTTTTTCATGCAAATCTTAGTTTAACGCCTAATAGTAGTAATGAGCGAACGATTTTATTTTTGGATTTCAGCGCTTAAATAATAACCTTAGATGCCTTTGAAACTTGAAGGACTAAAGTCTTTTCTTCTGCTCTTTTTATTTCTTTCACAGGAGGGAGTCCTCAGAATATTTCCCTTAAATCATTTGTCCAAAAGGGCCTCCAATAATTCCCCTGGAGAGGGTGTAAGAGCCTTGACGCGTGGACAGTATCACCTCCACAGGAGCAATCTAAGAAACCACTGTTCGTTCTCCAGTCTCCAAACAGGACGTAACAGTTGTGAACATGTACCAAAGCCTCGCCTTGTCCTCCAACCAGTCCCCTTACTCGCATGACACCGGGAATTACATCCACCCTTCGGCCAGCTCTCCGGTCTACATCCCCACCACCAGAGTCCCAGCCATGCTGCCCACGCTGCCCTACCTGCAGACCTGCGAGTCGCCCCACCAGTCTCACGGCCTCGGCGGGCACCACGGCTGGCCCCAGAGCGCCGCGGACGGCTCCTCGTTTGCGCCCAGCAGCCCTCACCCTCCGCATGGCTTCTCCTATTCGCACAGCCCGCCCGTCAGCAGCAACACCGGCCGGGACGGGAGCTACCAGAGCCCGCTGGTTCTCGGAAACGGCGCGCGGGCGGAGCAGTACGGAGGGGCTCTGGTACGCTCGGTGGGAGGCTCATATTCCAGCCCTTACGCGTACATGAGCCCAGAGATGGCGACGTCGTCCTGGACGCCGGGACCCTTCGAGAGCGGAGTGATCAGTCTGCAGGGACGGCATGGAGGGCTGTCCGGGAGAAGGTCCAGTCTGGGTAAGCAGGCCCCTAACTTCCACTTCAAGACCAAATTGAAATCAACCATACAATTTATTATCATAATCTTGAAAAGAAAGACGCACATATCAGTAGACCAAATGTCTGAGGAAAAGTGGAGCTTTTTAAAACACTGAAAACATTATTGTGCTCATAGCCAGACTGACAAATACATAACCATGAGCTGATTTTGTCATGAATACTCGCTGCTTTTATGTTCAAATCTGTCCCAAAAACAAGGATTTTTGTTTGATTTGTGCTCTTCTGTACATTTTAACGGTTTCAAGTTATTTAAAAAGTGCAAAATCAGGACCCAGTGTAACAGCACCCATACCCTGACTTGCAAATACTGTAAATCATACACTGATTTTGTTTTCTTCCTCCATATTTTACCATCAATTATAGTTTCAAAAATATCAGCACTAAAATATAAATAAAATTCAAATGTCACCTTGTGATTGTTATAGAGTAAGTGAGAGAGGCCTGTGACAGTACTGGTTGTGATTCAATCAAAGTCTCCTTCATCACATTTACACAATACACATTCTTCAGAAGAAGGTAGTTAAAACAATCAAGTAAATTAATGTTAATTTAATCTTCCTGCAGCAGTCCAGTGTTTTTGATGACAAGAGTTCAATACACACGCAGACAGAAGCACACAATCAGAGCAGTTCTCACCTCAGGCCTGAAACATCTCTACTGCAACGTTGATACAGAGAGTCACTAACTGGAGCGTTTGAAGCTGATGATGAGAAAAAATAATCGAGTCAGACGTTGATCTGATGGTTTGTCAAGAGACAGTTTGATGATTTGGCCTTTTGACTGTTTCACACCTCTCAAACTCTTAATTAACAAATTCATTCAATCTAATTGTCTTTTGATGGTTGAATGAATCCACCCCAGAGGTACACTATAATGCAACAAATTATTTTAACAAAAAAAAAACTGCTGAAACGGATTACATTGAAAAAAATGAAGTAACACAAACTTAATTTTGGAAGCTAAATATTCTTATGTATTTTTTTACTCAGTATTTTGTTTTTGAATTACAAATAAACAGTACAAAATTAAGTCAGTGTCACTTGATCCTGAATGTTTCTTAACTCACAAAATTGAGTTAGTTTTACTTAAAAATTTCGATGTAATCAGTTTCAACAATTTTTTTACTTTAATGAACTTAGCTGGTTTTACAGTGTATATTTTTTGTCATATCTCACAGTCCAATTTTTGTGCACCAGTGACTTCATATAATCACTTTACGTTTCTGTTTTAATTTGCTTTTTAAAAATATCAGTCTACTAGGGCTGAACAATTAATCACAATATTATCGAAATTGCAATATGACCATGTGCAATATGCGAATCATAGAAGCTGACATTCTTTTAATAAAAGTAAAATGAGTGACATTCAGCATTATAATGAAGTACTGGAGTGCTGCACAGATGACCTGGCCTACAAATATAGTTCTCAAGATTTAAAAAAAACAACATGTTTGTTTGGTACAGACACCCAAAAATCAACATTATTTTAATAGCTTTTCTGTGAAAATTACATTTGTGATACCAAAATAGTAATTTCCACACTAATCGTGAATCATATCGCAATATTTCTCAAAAATAGTTGCAATAGAATGTTTTTACCATATTGTGCAGATAAATGGAACTATTTATTGTGTTAATGTTTGCCTTGGGTCCTAATTTAAAGTATACTATCAGAAGGTGGCACTGTCAGTCAGTTTGGAGGAGACAGAATTCCTCCTGTGCTCTGTCAAATTTACACAAATGAACTGAGGAAATGAGAGGAAATTTTGCTGTGTAATTTTTTTTGCTATGACTTTATTAGCCTATATTCTATTTAAATTTATAGTGTTTGCCATTTGTCCTAATTTAAAGTACACTATCATACACTATCAGAGGGATGGGGGCACTGCCAGTCATTCTGAAGGATTTCCTCATGTGCTTTGTCAACTTTACACAAATTAACTCTAGCTTTCCTAAAATAATTAGTTTTTTAAATGGCATTAATTAAATAACTAATATTTTTTTCAGAGGAAATAAGTTAACATTTTGATATCATGGTTGTTTCTTACAATATTTTATTCTTGGGGTCATCAGAAATCTAAATGCGGATTTAAATATGTTGGTAGGATGAGGGTTAAGGAGGAATTTCACACCAAAACTGAATGTATGTGGGCCCAACATAGACACATGCTGTACTCCACAATAGGAATACATTGCATTATTAGCCTATATTATATGTTCATTTCTAGTTCATGTTTGTCATGGGTTCTAATTTAAAGTATCACACAATATCAGGGGCACTGTCACTCAGTTTGAAAGAAACAGATTTCCTCATGTGCTCTGTCTATTTTTTAACAGAATGAACAGAGTTAAATGAATAGACTATGATATATACTATATATTCTGCTAGTATATTCATATATATATCTATAATGTTATTTTTTATATTTCCCTGTACATATGCACATTACTCTGCACTTTACTGCTTTTGCACTTGCACTTGCACTTCTGCTTAAATGCTTAACTGCATTTTGTTGTCTTAGTTGTGCAATGACAATAAAGTTGAATCTAATCTAATTTTAGTTTCACACAAATTAGCAGTAACCTTCCTAAAATAATAATAATCTATTTTTTAGATGGCATTAATTAAATAACTAATAATGTTTTGGGAGAAAATACATTTTTCTGTGATGGATATTTCTTACAGTGCATATTCTTGGGGTCCCCAGGAATCCCCAATATCACACCAAACTAAATGTAGGTGAGCCCAACATGGACAGGTGCGGTACTCCGCAGTAAGAATGCATCACTTTATTAGCCTATCCTATGTGCATTTCTCTTACAGCAATGTTCCTCTGTACTGAATATGGTCAGTATTATATTTCTTCCTATGTCATAGAATTATGTTTAGTAATGAATATAGCATGCTGTTTCTAAAAACTTTTATATTATGACTGTTCAGTTGACATGATTCTAATGGCTATTGGAAGTTACGCACAGCGCAGTTTTTTGTTTTTTTTGTTTTCCTTGTTCCAATAAACCACTAGCTCAGCTTTTATTTGGTTCTCCTGGAATAATAAGAGCTACAGTCACAAGTTAAAAGAAAAGAGGGCTGCTTCAAGACAGCTTTATCTTGACCGGCATGGTCTTTCTCAGGTCTTCCTTTAAATTGAAAGATTAGGAATTTGGGCAATTAATGCCAGGAGTCCGTCGTGTGTCAGCGCAGTGATGAATGGAGGAGGGGGACCCCTGGATCCTTCAGGCTGATAACGCACCGCCCTCCTCTCCTCAAACAGATCCCTCCATCAGTCTGACTGTTTCCCCATTGATTCATCGGAGGGTTTGATCTCTCCGTCACAGGGGATGGAGGTGGGGAGAGGGTATAAATTCCTCCTCCGGCTTATTCATCACGCATTGGCCCGTGACCAGAACCCCCATCCACGCCATCCATAGTTCAGTGGGAAATCTCGTAAACAGGAATGTTGTTTATTGCAATTATGTTATTACATCCAACAACTGCTCTCTCTCAGAAGTCAGTATATTTAGGCGTGAGGAATAGCAAAATTATAAATGGAGGGAGATGGAAAAAAGCGAGTTAGTTTCTAGAAATAGGAATATTATAGATCAAGAGGGATGTGATGATGCCATAAATTCTCTCCCAGAATATTTTTGAATATAGATAAGTAGCCTGTATCCGAATGCTCTCGATGGGTATTTAAATGTTCTGGATCTCCGATTTAATGAGTCTTTTCTCCGGTGTCCAGACCTGATGGACGACATGTCCACCGAGGGCAGGGAGTGCGTCAACTGCGGCTCCGTGTCCACTCCGCTGTGGCGCAGAGACGGCACCGGCCACTACCTGTGCAACGCCTG